CCTCTGCCTCCCAAGTGCTGGAACCACCGCCCGGCTAAACCCAGGACTTCTTGTAACCACTCTACCCACTGAGCTGCATCCTCAGCCAATTTCCTTATCATTTTTGAGGATTTATATGTACATGTGTTCTGTCTACATGTATGCATGTGTGTCGTGTGCGTGCCCAGTCCCCACAGAGCTCAGAAGAGGGTGTTGGAGCCCCTGGAACTGGAGTTATGGATGGTTATGAGACACTACGTGGGTGCTGGCAATGAAAACCAGGTCCTCTGCAAGAGCTGCAAGTGCTCTTGACTACTGAGCCAACTCTCCAGCCCCTCCTTGTTTTTTAATAGAATGCATTGAATTGTAGCATGCTTTAAGTCCCAGTAAGAGCTATGTTAAAGCCAACTCAGAGAACTCCCGATAATTTAGGAAGAAGCTCTTGCAAACACACTACAGTATAATGCTGTCCCCTGCCCAGGTCCTGGTGGGCTCTGTGCTTCCAGGTGCCCTCAAGATTCTGAATTCAAGTTCTTTACTACAGCTTCCCTGCCCACTCCCACCCCAGGAGCTCTTTGGTCAAAGCTCTAATCCATCCAGCAGCCGTGGTCTGCTCTGGTACTGAGGACCTCTGGCCAACCCTATGAGGAAAGTACTCTCAAAGGCAGCCATCCCTGTCTCCTCTAGTTCTGACTGTGGCGACAGCCCTCGTGCCCTTCTCCCCATCTCCCTGGAAACTCTCTTTAAAAAAAAAAAAGAAAAAGTTTTTATTGTGTGTGTGTGTGTGTGTGTGGTCTGGAGGCCAGAAGAAGATATTGGGTTCCTTGGAAGTCAAGTTTTAGGCTGTCGAGCCTCCTGATGTGGGAACCTAGTTTATTTTAGGTCCTCTGGAATTTGCAAGTGCTGAGCCATCTCTCAGCTCCTGGAGCCTTTCTTCTTTACCAGCTCCGCCCCTGTCTGTATGTGTACGTACATACATGTTCACGTGTGTGATTATAAGTGCATGTGGTGTGTACATACATGTAGGCTAGTAAATAACTTCCAGTGTTGTTTGTTGTTTACTGCTCTCTGTACATACTGATTCTTCTTCTTCTTCTTCTTCTTCTTCTCCTTCTCCTTCTCCTTCTCCTTCTCCTTCTCCTCCTCCTCCTCCTCCTCCTCCTCCTCCTCCTCCTCCTCCTCCTCCTCTTCTTCCTCCTCCTCCTCCTCTTCCTCCTCCTCCTCCTCCTCCTCTTATTCCTCCTCCTCCTCTTATTTCTTCTCCTCTTTCTCCTCTTCCTCTTCCTTTTTTTTTTTTAAATTATTTTATGTATGTGAGTACACTGTTGCTCTCTTCAGACACACTGGAAGAGGGTATCAGATGGTTATGAGCCACCATATGGATACTGGGAATTGAACTCAGAACCTCTGGAAGAGCAGTCATTGAGCCATCTCTCCAACACCATCACCTCCCCCTTTCTTCTGAGACAGGTTTCTCACTGGTCTGGAGCTTGCCAAGCAGGATGGCCAAGTCTGACCTCCCTGCACTGGGATTGCATGTGTGCTGCCATGACTCCTGGTATTTCTACCTGGGTTCTGGGGAGTGGACTTAGATCCTCATGCTCTTGGGACTTACGGATAGTGATCTCTCAGTCTACCTCTTCTTTTTCACACTCTGGTTCTCTTTGCTTCTTTCTCTTCTGGTTTCCTTTCATGTTCTCCCAGGCCTCACCTGACACCTCAGGGAGAGGACTCGGTAGGACCTGCTAGGCCCATCTTTTTTCAAATCTGTCTATCGATTCCCCCTTCAGTGGAGGCTCTGGTGGAGATTGTAGCCATTTGCAAAAGCCAGGAATACTTTATAGATGATTAACAGCAATTTGTGGGAGTGGGGTAGTGTTTCCAGGTTTCCACACAGTAGCCCCAGAAGATATAGTTCTTCAGCTGAATGAAAACAGGGAGGCAGCAGCACAGTGGGCAAATGACCCTGACAGGCTCTGTCAGAAGGGGTAGGTAGGTGTGTGGGCAGCACTTTCTATGTGGCGGCTGGTCAGTAATGCTCTCTCTTCAGTCAACAGCCTGGATCTGTGGCCTCTCATACTGACTTACGCTTTGAGCATGTGACCTGCTTTGGTCCATGGGAGAAGAAGACTGAAACCAGAAGAGACTTAAAGAGTACTTAGGTTTTACTTCCTGTGGCAGGGGAACTCTGAGATTACTGTGAGCATGCCCAGCCACCTCACTGGGAGATAAAGACTCACAAGTTGTCTGAGGGCCCAGACAACTAACGGCCTCTGACAGCAATGTATAATTCAGCAGTCCAGCTAAGTTCTGAGGATGCTCCAAGCCCAGATTCAGTTGCTGATCTACATATCTGTAAAGCTAAGAAGTGGTGGTGGGAAATGTTTTGTTATATGCAAAGGCTAAGAGTGGCACTCAATACACTGGAGACCATTGAGTGAGAGTAAATGACCAGGCAAGTAGGTGCAGCCACCTAAGCCATAGGACATGCTGTCAGGGACACTGGGAGGCCCAGCAGGGTTCCCCCAGACCCTGCAGGATAAAGGGAAGTGAGACATTCACATTCATTCAAGATTTGAGCAAGAACCTGAAAACTCAGAGAATCAAGATAAATACTTAATGCAGTATTTTTAAAAAGTCAAACAAGGAAACCTGTCCATGTGCTAGCTGCTTATTTTATAAATAAAGTTTTATTGTAACAAAGACCAGGATTAGGGATAGGCAAGCACGTAGTGCCATACAAGGGCATGGTCACAATCTTCCAGAAGTCAGAACATTCCTCCAATGGCTTCTCGCAGTCAGTTTCATTGGAAAACTTTCAGGGCCAAGTGATTAGATCTCTTCAGATTATTTTTTTGGAAACAGGATCTTACTGTGTAGCTCTGGATAGTCTGGTAATCCCCATGTAGACCAGGCTGGTCTTGAATTCACAGGGGTCCATCTGCCTCTGTCTCTAAGAGCAGGGATTATAGATGTGCACCACCACTCCAGGTGACTCTCTGGGATGTCTTGCTTGGGCTGGAGCAAGAACTCGGCTCATAAGAGCCCGTTTTACAAGACGGATGGATGACCTGAGCTCAATCTCCAGATCCCTCATAAAGTTAGAAGGAGAGAAGTGACTCCATAAACTTGACTTCTGACTACGAGTGCGTCAGGGCAACCAGAAAACCTACACTCATTCACAGAAAATATATTTGCATAAATGAAATTAAAATATTTGATTTGGTTGGGCAGTAATGGTGCACGTCTTTAATCCCAGCATGCAGGAGGCAAAGGCAGAGGCAGGCACATCTCTGAGTTTGAGGTCAGCCTGGTCTACAAAGCAAGTTCCAGGACAGCCAGGGTTATACTGAGAAATCCTGTCTCAAAAAAAAAAAAAAAAAAAAAAAAACACAATCAATAAAATAAAAAAAAAACCCAAAAGTTGTTTTTGATTTTTCCCCCTGTAGACTGATTCAAACCCAATCTCAGCAGAGCCAACAGAAGATACTCAAGGTGCTTGGATTATTTGTTTTAAAAAGTTGTCAAAAAGAATTCTTTTCTTTTATGTGTATGAACGTGTCTGTGTAGGGGACTGAACAGGAGTGCTGGTGCTAAGCTCCCCCGGAGGAGCAGCACACACTCTTGACTGCGGAGCCATCTCTCTAGCCCTCAGTTGACAATATTTTTTTTAAAAGGCATGTGGCAGGTGGATGTGGAGTTTGAAGACACCTTGTCTACAGCAGGTTCCAGGCCAGCCTGGGTTACACAGGGAAACCCTATTATAAACAGTTCTATTCCTAGTTTCAGTTTTGAAATGTGTGCTGGGAGGAGCCCTTGTAGGAGTGCGGTAAAAAGCCTGAGTGATGCTTAATTTCCCAGAGAACAGCTCACACCTTGCTTGGTGATGTCAGTGTGCTGAGCCTGTGAAAGAGTCCCCTTGTCCCTCTACACTACTAACTTTTCTTCTTCCCGAAATGGCCAGACAGACGATGAACAGTCTGTCTGACTTCCACTCAGCTGTGGGATTGAGGAAGAGACAGTTGTTGCCTTCATTCCAGGGGCCTGAAAAGATGGCTCTCCCCAGTCTAGGTGCCTGCCACTCCCACACCAGGCAGGGAAAGGCTGTGCCAGGCGCTGGCACTTGTGGAATCTTGGGGGCGTTGGCCGGTGGGTGGAGTGCCTTCTTCATGACCCTCCTTTGCAGTTCATCCCCAGATCTCATCACAGAACCATTCCAGAGCCCTTTGCCTGCCACCCTGCTGCATTATACTTCAGGCACACTTCCTCTGGGCAGCCACAGGTGGAGCTAGGTGGTCAGAGAGTGCTTCAGGCCCTTAGCTCACAGCCTTCTTTCTTCCTAAGAGCCGAGGGAGGCACATATTTCTGCAGTGATGGAGATGTGACTGCCAGGGGTTGGGAGATGGACAGGTTAAGTTCCTCATCCTTCTGAGGTCTTAAAACTGTATAAAGAAGGTCTGGAGAGACGGCTCAGTGGTTAAGAGCATTTGCTGCTCTTGCAGACCTGGGTTCTGTTCTCAGCATCTATGTGGAAGCTCACAGCTGCCTATAACTTCAGTGCAAGAGCTGCTGAGACCTTCTTCTGGCCTCCATGGGCATCAGGCACACACAAGCACATACATAGATGCAAGCAAAGCATGCATACACATAAAATGAAATCAATAAAAAAACAACAAAATCCCAGACAACTGTCTGAGGAAATGGAGTCTACTCTATACATTAGATCACACCATATTCTTTTAAAAGACAGGTCTCATGTAGCCCAGGCTGGCTTCAGACTTACTACATAGCACAGGATGACCTTCTTCATGTGGAATGACAGGTGAGCAGCACAGCATATGGTTTCTGTGGTACTAAAGAGGGAGGCCAGGGCTTTGTGCACTCTGGGCAAGTGCTGTTCCCCATGAGCGACATCCATGGGCCCGCAGCCTATTCTTGTCTTTAAATTTATTATTTTTAGAACTTTGTACATGAGCACTGGGACCACATTCTCCCTTGTCCCCGTCCCCCATCCCCTGAAAATTTATAACCTTTAGCAAGGTTTATGGCAGTGGTTCTCAACCTTCCTAATGCTGTGACCCTTTAATTGAGTTCCCTGTGTTGTAGAGACCTCAACCCAAAATAAAATTATTTTCATTGTTACCTCATAACTGTAATCTTACTGAATTGTAACTTAAATATTGATGTGCAGGATATCTGATGTACGATCCTGTTGTTTGAGACCCACAGGTTGAGAACCACTTGTTTAGAGGCAGCTAAAGCTCATGCCTTGAGACTGGGGGCTTCCTGTCCTCCTTCCTTGCTTGTGGTTGGTTCACATGAGAGGTGAGGGGCTGCCAAGTACTCTGGCCAGGCACTTGGGAAAAGACTCCTCTGGCGCATCCTTCTCAGTCTGGATGATACTGTCTTACTGGAGTGGCTTTGTGTCTAGCCTGGAATCTATGAAGGCCAGGGAAGCTGAGTCCAGAATTTGCCATCCTTATCAAAGTCTACCCCTTTTTCTCCTCTGGGTGCAAAAGGTGACAAGGAACCCTCCGCTCACCAGGAGGGCAGTCAAGACCCCCCCACCCTCTTCCCTTGGCTCAGTCTGAGGAGATGATGCCCACACAGTGGGGCTTCGACTCCTGGGCAGCCTGGAGGGCCGGCACGCCTGGGATCCTCGGTCACCCAGGATCTTGGAGACAAGTGTCTCTTCACATCCATCACCTGCAGCTGCTGGCTGGTGGAGAACCGGAAGCCGATGGGTCCTCAGACAACGTGATGGTCACAGCTTGGGAAGGAAGCCATCTTCATTTCCTGAAGGACTGGCTGCCTGTAGGAGAGAAGCCAGAGGCACATGCCAGTGCCAAGTGGTTCCTGCACAGAACCCCTCTATCCCGTACAGTTCCTTCTTTCAATCTGCCCTTGTACAAACAGAATAATGAGAACTTTCCCTCCCAGGTCCTGGCTCTGTGGCCCGCCCAGGTCTTTCCTCACAGGAAGCAGGCCGCCTGGTCGGTTTGTTCATCGTGCCTCCTGGCAACAGCTCACTGTTTGCTGAGTCCACAGGACATATCAAATCCACCACTCAGGGACTCTGTACGCCAGGCTTGGGCTACGGGATGCTACTGGATGTGGAGTATGGCCAGCCATCAGCTATGGGGTGGTGTTATTATTGAGATTATTATTAACTGAGGCTCCCCAACCCTGTGCATCTTGGAAATGGGGATGGGGTCAGAGAGGCCTGACTGCTTTCCTCCTGGCTAGGCTTTCTCATGGCCCCTTGGCACTGCCTCCGAGTTTGGGAGGAAGTAGTCTGACCTGAACCTCCGCTTTACCGTTTCCAGAGGGAATAGAGAGAGCCCATGGTGGCTTAGCCATGGCCCATCACCTCGACAGAATGCTAGGGCCTGGCCAGGGATGGGTGGAGACAAGAGGTGTCTGTACCCAAGCTGGTGACTTGGTACTGCTTGACATCTCTGCTCTGGACTTTTGTTCTCTTTGTTGTTAGTAAAGCCCTTGGGAAAGATCCACCAGCTGGGGTAGATCAGTCAAAGGGCTGAGGCTGAAAGATGTCGAGGAAGATGGAAAGGCTGGGTTTGAGCAGAGGCCTCCCACCAGAAGGTGGATCTCAGTTCTAGACCAGTCTTACACAGTTGAGACAGGTCAGCTGGCCTTTGCAAGCCCCTCAGAGTGTGGGAATCTTATTTCTAAGAGACAAGACCTTCGGGGTGTCACTCTGCCAGCATAGACACTAGCTGCTGACCTAAGAGCAGGGAGTAAACAGGAAAGGACAGGTCCCTGGGACAAAGGAAGCACTGGGAAGGGCCCTGGTTCTATAGAGGAGGGAAATGTCCCTTCCTCATGTGCCCGAGCACTAACAGCAGCACAGAGCCTCTGTACACAAACTTCCTCTGAACATTCCAGCAAGGTGAAGGCTGACTTACTGTGCAGGTCCCTCGTGGAGGACGCTGTGGAAGCCGGGCGGCTGGCCTGTTGGGGGCCACTTGAAGAGAACTGAGGGGCCAGAGACAATGCTTTTGCCTTGAGTGCGTTCTGCTCCATGGTCTCTGGAGTACTGGGTACCCAGGGCTTGCAGGTGAAGGCTGGTGTGAATTCCCTGGGAGAAAAAAACCATACAATCTAGAATCACAGCTTTTTTTTGGTCCGTCCTTCCTTCCTTCCTTCCTTCCTTCCTTCCTTCCTTCCTTCCTTCCTTTCCTCCTCCTCCTCTTCCTCCTTCTCTTCCTCCTCCTCTTTCTTTCTCTCTCTCCCTCTCTCTCTCTCTCTCTCTCTCTCTCTCTCTCTCTCTTTCTTTCTTTCTTTCTTTCTTTCTTTCTTTCTTTCTTTCTGTTTTTCCTAGACAGGGTTCTCTGTGTAACATCCCTGGCTGTCCTGGAACTCACTCTGTAGACCAGGCTGGTTTTGAATTCAGAGGTCCTCCTGTGTCTGCCTCCAGAGTGCTGGGGATTAAAGACATATGTCACCACTCCAGGCTTTTTTTTTCCCTTTTTTACATTTTAAACACTTTTAGTATTATTTACATGGATGTGTGTGTGTCTGCTTACATGCACACATGTGCCTGAGGCAGGGGCATCCCCTGGAGCTGGAGTTACAGTCAGTTGTAAACTGCCTGATGTGGGTGCTGGGAATTGAACTTGGGTTCCGTGCAAGGACAATATATGTTCTTAACCACTGAGCCATCTCTGTAGCTCCCAGAGTCAGGATAGACTTGTGAGAAGAGGGCAGCTCTTGCCTCTGGGACCCCTGACAATGTGGCGGCCATATCACAGGGGAAGAGAGAAATAATGAAGAAGGAAAATCTAAGGGGTTAACAGGGCAGGGAAGGGAGCCTGGGAGAATATTAACAATTTGAGTTTTTGAGATAGGGTCTTACTGTACAGCCCTGACTGCCCTGGAACTTGCTATGTAGACCAGGATGACCTGATACTCAGAGGTCCTCCTGGCTCTGCTTCTCCAATGCTAGGATTAAAGGTATACACTACCATGCCCCACCAAAAATGTTTTTGGTGTATTTATTTATTTTGGAGGAGAGAGCACACGACATAGAACACCACTGACCATCTCTTCTGCCATCCTGGGGTAAAATGCAGGTCACCAGGCCTGGCAGGCCTTTATCCATGCAGCCATCTCACCAGCCCACTGGTGGTGACAGTTTGGACTGTACCATCAGGGAGCTGTCAGAAGCAGAACCACGGTCCCCAAAGGGTCTGGATCACAGGCTCCTGAATCCAGGACTACATTGTTGTAGGCGTGCTATCAGAGTTGTCCTGTCAGGGTGTGATCCCTGGCAGCCCTCACAAGCCTGGCTAGGTCAATTGTCCTTAGTAGGGCTATTAAAGGTAGGAGCAATAGTGAAAAGCAAAGGAGATTTACTCAGTGTGGCCACAGTCGGGAACAAATAAAAAGGATCAGTGGACACCCAAAACCTTGAGCCTGTCTACAGGGTCCTGATGCGGTTTAGTTTTAAACAGAGGGCAAGGGGTTTACATGGCGAAGCAGTTCTGGTCAAGGAGTGGTCCTGTCCATCACCAACTCAATCAGCTCCTGCACGCATGCGCACATGCACACGCACGCGCACACACATTAAGTAGATAAATGTGAAAACATGAGGTCTCCTGTCAGTGGCTGACAGCACAAGCATGGCTGGCTGTCGTAATGGCTGCTTATTCTGAAGGGTTGGGAATGCCTGCAGGGTGCCCTGGCAGGCAAGAGTGGTGAAGACAAAGCGGCCACAGTAAGGACTGGTCCATCTAGATTCAGGAGCATGACCTTATTGAGCTAAGGAAGATAGGAAGCCCCTAGAAACAGGCATAGGTGAGGAGACCGTCTTCCAGGGCAAAGTATACTATGCTCTAATACACCTACACTTTGAAGGGTATGGCGTCAGATGTCTAGAAGGCAGACACAGCCAGGTTGTCCTGCTTCTCCCAGTGCAGAGATTTGCTTCCACAGCACAAGGAAACTCATTTTAGGAGGGGTGGCCGGGAAAGTCTTGCTGACACAGTGATGTTGAATTCTCAAACAGTCCTGCGACACAGGTGTTCCTTTTTAGCAGATGTAGACTGAGGGTCCAAAGTCCAGGAGCCTTCCTGAGCTCATCCGCAGGCAGTGACGCCAGGAGTGGAGAAGAGTCGCTTCCCAGCTGTCTTCCACAGCTCAGTGTTGTCAGACCAGCACTCTGGGGTCTGGGTCCCACTGTCTCCCAGGGATGGGCTGGGGCTGGGTGGAGCGCTCCCCACCCATCCTGCCTTGCAGTCACAAGTAGTGACACACACACACACTGAACTCTGTTTTCTCATCTTGAGAGCCCCGTTCTTACTATTTACAAAAAAAAAAAAAATGTCCATTTTCCTGTGTCTTAAAGTAGTGAAGCCCTGGGACCATCGCTCAGCGTTGCCATTAACCGAGCTCACTTCAGCTTACACACTGCACACACACCGACGGCGGCCAGTCTTCCCTCCCCTAAGTGCATGCCTTAGAGTGTGAGGTACACATGGTTTGTGTATCCAGATGGGTTTGAGCTTGGTAATTGGGGCTCCTAAGCCAGTATAGAGATGGTAAGAGGCTGTGGGACATGCCACCCCCAACTGCTACAGCAGTGAAGGATATGCTCCCTGTTGAGGGGTGAAGCTCAGGACCATAGAAAGCATAAGCTATTCTTCCTAGAGAGGCCCAGGGCCTGCTCTGTCCTTCTTGAGCTGGTGGCTGAGCATGAATAAGCTGCTCCATCTGTAAAATGGTTAAACATGGAGGCTGGAGAGGTGGCCCAGTGGTTAAGAGCACCTCTTGCAGAGGACTTGGGTTCAATTCTCATCACCCACGTTGGGAAGTTCATAACTACCTGTCACTCCAGCTCCACAGGGATCTGAACTCTCATGCGCACACCGACATAGTCACACACATATATATGTAATTAAAAATAATAAAGACACCAGCAATGGCGGCATGTACCTTTAGTTCAGCACTCAGGAGACAGACACAAGCAGGTCTTTGTGAGTTTGAGGTCAGCCTGGTCTACATATCGAGTTCCAGGTCAACCAAGGCTACAATAGTGAGACCCTGTCTTAAAAAACAGTCTGAAGAACATTGAGACTGTATTGGAGTCCCAGGTGTAGGCACCCCATGAATGAGGGTTACGATTTTGGGAGTTTTGTAGGAGGAAACTGTGGCCTTAATTTTTTTTAAGTGTAGTCTTACACATACATACACATACACATACATATATATGCATCTATATGTATATGTGGGTCTGATTTTGGTATTTTGTTGCTGGTACAACACTTGATATTTTTAAAAAAAGATTTATTTATTTATTTTATGTATGTGAGTACACTGTAGCTGTCTTCAGAACAGGGCATGAGATCCCCATCACAGATGGTTGTGAGCCACCATGTGGCTGCTGGGAATTGAACTCAGGACCTCTAGAAGAGCAATCAGTGCTTTTAACCACTGAACCATCTCTCCAGGCCCCACAACACTTAATTTTTTTTTTTTTTTTGGTTTTTCAAGACAGGGTTTCTCTGTGTACCCCTGGCTGTCCTGGAACTTACTCTGTAGACCAGGCTGGCCTCAAACTCAGAAATCTGCCTGCCTCTGCCTCCCAAGTGCTGGGATTAAAGGTGTGCCCAGGCAGCCAGTCTGGAGCCAGTCCTCAGAGGCTGCCGAGGCTGGCCAGGATTGGTGCTGTGAGGCCACTGCTGGCAAGCAGAGCCAGGCGTCAGCAGAGGTGACCAGCAGAAGACATGAGAAAAGAGAGAAGGACCTACCAGGGTGCAGAGAGCTGTGCCCTCCCAGCCAACAGGGAGGGACACTGGCCTCCCGCAGGGGGATTCAGAGATGGTTGTCTCTCTGTGTCAAATGGGCTTGAGGATAGGATTTGGGTTTCCCCATTGTAGTGGGATTAAAGCAGATGCCCCTACTGAATCAAGTTGGAACTTACGTGCTTGGACTTAGCTAACTAATTGGTTGGGAGCCTGAATAACAAGGGATAACCTGCCAGTAAAAGTCCAGATGTGAGCAGGAAGCCTTTGGACTGAACTCGCTCCCTCCCTGGATCTCCCACAGGCCCCACCACAGTCTTAGCCCATGAAGCCTCCACACTCACAAAAGCCCACATCTTAGATCTCTCTCTAGATACACGTCATGTCTTTTGGAAGAGCCTTGACTCACATTGTATAAGCCATTGGAACTCTTTGCTTAACAGCTCATGACCCTTCCTGGGTCCGGGACAGAGAATCCTCAGGTAGGATCTCCCTCTGGCTGGCTCTTCCTACTAGCTGAGGAGGACTGAAGTCCTGCCTGAGCATCAGGGAGGCAGCCCTTAATAGCACCCAAGGCCCCCGCACCCCCTTCTGCAAAGGCTTCCCAAGTCTTGGTTGGTGCTGCAGGAAGAGGGTGTGTTGGCAAGGAATTGTCATCAACTTCTGCAGGGGTGATGGAAATGGCACTGCCCAAGGCAGAGCAGCCTCTGGGATCCACCCCACAAGATGGTGAGGTAGCTACCTGGAGCCAGAGCTGGAGCCAGGAAACGGTCTTGGGTGGATGGAGAACAGCCAGACTAGGGTACATTAGAGTGGGCAGGCCAAAAGGAAGTTCAGGAGGGCACTCACCCATGACTTTCAGAAAGTCATTTGCTTCAGGAACACATGGCAGTTTGACGCATGTGTTCATTGGGAGGTGCCCTGAGATAGGCAGGGATCTATTAAGGTGCTGCTTTATGTCAGCTTATCAATGGGGACATTGTGCTTGCAGAGCAATACAAGCCACCAGAGAGATTGCATCTTCACTTGCGTTTGGAATGCTGCTGAGTCACCCCAGCAGCTGGGCACCCCAGCAGAGGATCCCATGTCCCCTCCTCACGCAGGAAGGCACAGAGGAGGTGCTTGGGGGCTGCTCTCTGCTCACTAGGTTTGGAACCGGCTCTTAGTTGCTGCTGCAGACACTTCGGCCTGAGAATAATGAGACCCAGACAGTGGTGGAGATAGGTGGGGAACAGGAGAGTAGAAATTACACCAGGTAAAGGCAGGTGTCTAATGGCCACCAACAATCCACATGTGTGCACCCGGATACTGGGCTCCCCTGTCCTGACATCTAAGG